CCCGGCCCCGCCGCCCGTGCCCTGCCAGTTTTCCCCTCCCCGCCCGAGCCCATCCGCCATGGACGGGCCCTCGGAGCCCCGGATCCCGGCCCTGTGGGACACCTACGAGGATGACATCTCGGAAATCAGGTGAGGCCCAGATCTGGCACCAGCCAGGAAACCCCTTGGAGGAGGTGGCCCGGAGCTGCGGGGAGGCGGGGGCTTCGGTGCTCCTGCAGCCTCAGACCTTCCCAGACTTGGCTGCGGGGGCTGTGCTGGCTTGTGCACCCCCAGGCACAGGTCCCTCCTGAGAAGGGAGTAGGGTCCCGGCCGTGCTGAGTCGCCAGCAGGGATGCCTGGGGAGTCCCTGACCGTCTCCGGCCTCAGTATTTCTGTCTGTCAAAGGGGTCTGCGAGCCCTCTGTTTCCCTGGTAGAGACCTCCACGAAGCAGGCGTCCGGTGCATAGTAGTTGCTCAGGAAACATAAGGGCCTGGTGTACCCCGTTCATCCCCAGGACACCCCAAGCAAACCCTCAGATAATAGAGAGGCTGGGAGTTAGCTGAGTCCCAGAGGGAGAAGCGGTATCCCGGGGAGCTCCAGGCTGGGAGGGTGGGGTCTCTCACAGGAGCACTTAGACCAGAGCATTCTCTCTGAACGAGGCATGACTCCTCTGTTCCTGGGATGAGTCGGATGCTTTGATGGGACCTGCTTTCTAGATGGGGAAACTGAGGCTAGTGGGGAAGGTGACGCCACCACAATGATGCAGCTAGGGACAAGTTTGAACCCAGTCTGTCTGAGCCTCCAATCTGTGGTTTCTCCCTCTCCTAAGAGCCTTGGTGACAGTCCCTTTAGGCCCTGCCTCGTGGCTCTGTTTTTTGGGTGAGCAATCAGAGGCTCAGAGACGGCAGGTAGCCAGCCTGAGATCACACAGTGAACTGCTGAGACGCTCCCCAGGCCCCGCCATCCTGCACTGTTGCCCGGCGGGCTTTCCTGGCCTCCCTGGGCTCCTCCAGCCACCCCAGCCTTTGAGGAGGGGAACAACCCAGCCCTGCCCTCCACCTCTGGTGCCCTACTCCCTCGTACGGTTCAGGGCTGCCTTGCCTCAGCCAGGAGCCCAGGCAAGGAGAGGCCTCCCAGTGCCCGGGACTCCTGACTGCTGTGTGACCTAGGCAAGCTTCCTGGTGTCTCTGGGACTCTTAGGCTCAGAGTGGTGACCGGACTGGCCCAGGCCTGCCTGAGGACAGTCCCAGCATCTTCTTCTTTTATCCGGGCATTCTGGGCTCCACAATTCTCCCCTCCTGAGATAAACCAGCTCCCACCTCCGCCTCCAGGAAGCCGTCATCCGCCATCCCAGGCACCTGGGATCCCCCTCTCTCTCTGCTGCTGTGCCCAGACCCTAAAATCCCCTATGTGACCTTGCCGAGTGTGTGACCTTAACTCGGTCACTTTCCCTCTCTGAACCTCAGCCTCCTCATCCACGGCACGGGGGTCACTCCTCTAGACCTGGGTGTCCCCAGCCCCCTGGACGGTGCCTTTGGGACTTCAGGCTTCCACGCACTTCTGGGACCCCTGGACGGAAGGACGCCTCTCACCAGCGCTTCTTCCTCTGGGGTCCCCTGCCAAGGCCTCCCAGATACACAGACACCCCTGCTGCTGACTTCAGCAGCCTCCCCCAGAATGGCTCCTCCCCCCGCCCCGGGCTGCCCACCATCACAGGTCAGACCCGCAGGTGGGCCGTCAGGGCCTCCACTTTCCCCCCTGCACCCCCCACGGCCTGTCAGTCCCCGAGTCCCATCCCCACCCCCACTCTCTCTCCCAGCCCCTCCCCTCCATTCCCAGCCTCAGCTCGACCTTCCCCCAGCCTCCCAGCCATCCTCCCAGCGCCCCGGCCTCACCCACCCACCCGCCAAGCCAATCTCCCTCCTCCCCTGCATTCCATCCACCCCATCCCTTCAGCGTCCCTGGCCACGCCTCACAGTCCCTGCCCCAGTGCCTTTGGACATCCAGTTCCTGCCGCCGGGATCCCAGGGAGGTCTTTTCTCATCGACTCCCCAGCTACCCCAAGCTCAAATCTCTTCTGTGGCTCCCCAGGACTCATGGTGATCGTTTCCAAAACTGTGTGAAGGCACAGATTTCCTTTGTCCAAGAGAAATCTTACTACTAAGCAGGGATGTGTCACAGAGACCAAGACAGAGCCGCTCTGGTTTGAAGCGAGGGAGTGAGACTGGGCTACAAGGCTCCCTCTTCTCTCCCCTCAGGTGCTTCCCACACTCCCACAGCCAGTCCCTTCTCCTCCCCACGCTGGCTGCTTCTAGACGTACTCCGGCCTGGACGGCCCACCTTCCGGTCTTTGTGGGTTCCGTTTCCTTTGCCCGGGGGTGACCTGGGCTCTCTCCTTGGCTGCCAGCATCCTCCTCAGGCTTTAAGATTCAACTGGGCAATTTAGGGTTTGAGGCCAGGGGCAGGGAGTAAAGGGATGCACCTGCCCCCGGGTCTCTGATCACGCTGGTCCATCTTCACATCTGGTCCGTGGCACCAACACGTTGACCTGTTCGTGCGACAGGGACAGAAGGTAGCAGACGTGGGAAAAGGGTGTCGGGAATGAGTGAACGGGCAAGGCCGGGTGTGGTGGCACTTTGGGAGGTCGAGGCAGAAGGATCGTTTGAGCCCAGGAGTTCGTGAGCCGCCCGGGCCAACTAGCGAGACCCCGTCTCTACAAAAAAATCAAAAACTGGCCAGGCATGGGGGTAGTCCCAGCTCCTGGGGAGGCTGAGGTGGGAGGATCGCCTGAGCCCAGCAGGTCGAGGCTGCGGTGGCCGCGAGTGTGCCAGTGCCCTCCAGCCTGGGCGGCAGAGTGAGACCCTGACTCAAAACAAAACAAAACAAAGAATGAGAGAGTGAATGAACGGATGGGTGATTAGGTAAGCTTTGAGCGTCCAAGATGAGTCAGGATGAAGCGAGGAGGGACAGGGCATGCTGGGAGAGAAGCAGCAGGGGCAAAGGGACAGAGAGGGCTTCTAGAAAGCCAGAGGAGAGGCGACTGGATCAGAGAGGGGTGGCATGCAGTGGAAACTTCCCACAGGGGTCATCCCGTGGCAGGGACCCAAGTGGCTCTCCAGGCTGACTGAGACAGGCGGTTCCCGGGAGACTGTAGCCTGACTCCATATCTTTAAGCCCCCAAATGAGAGAAGTGAAACCATATCTGTCTTTTTCAAGACACAGGCATTCAAGATTTTTTTTTTTTTTAAAGATACTGGCAGGGCACAGTGGCTCATGCCTGTCATCCCAGCACTTTGGGAGGCCAAGGCTGGAGGATCACTTGAGCCCAGGAGTTGGAGACCCGCCTGGGCAACATAGAGAGAGCCTGTCACTACAAAATAATAATAATAATAATAATAATAATAAAAAGCCGGGCGTTGGGGCGCATGCCTGTAGTCCCAGCTACTCAGGAGGCTGAGGTGCAAGGATCGCCTGAGCCCAGAAGGTCGAGGCTGTGGTGGCCATGAGTGTGCCACTGCACTCCAGCCTGGGCGACAGAGTGAGACTCCCACTCAAAACAACAACAATGAAAATCCTAAAAAAAATAATCAAGAGACCGACCAGAATATAATTCAGGACAGAGGCCAAGGGGTGGAGGCCAGAGATGCCAGCAAGATACATCGCTTGGAACGTTCCAGCTTGTGGGGTTTGTTATGAATTAGACCTTATACATCTGATGTGTGATTCATGCAGCCTTTTTAGCCAATGGACTAAAGGGGATAATAAGGACAAAATAAAAACCTGAAGAGGAAAGACTCAGGCAAAGGAGGCAGGTTGGACGGGACGGGCGCCCAGCCAGTGTGGACACAAGCCCGGGGGACCCTAATCGCTGCAGCATCCCCGAAACACTCACCATGCTGAGTGCGCTGGGAATTACCTCATCTAATCCCCACAGCCGGCTGAGATCAGCCCCACGAATGACTAACGACTGTCATCCCATTTAAGATTTGTGGCCCAGAGAGGCTGAGTGACTTGCCCAAGGTCACACAGCTGCCAAGCGGGGCGTGGCCGGGATTCGAACCGGGGAAGCCTGACAGTCACGCCCTGGATGGGAATCTGGGGATGAGCAAGATCAGGGAGGAGCGCGATCGGGGCGGCGAGCCCTGCCCAGACGGGAGGCCTCGCGGGCGCTGCGTGGGACCGCGCTTCCGCGCGCGGGCGGCCCCGCCCCGCCGGCCGCCCTGGAGAGGGTCAAGGCCAGGGAAGCCCCGCCGGCTTTTGAACCTGGGGCGGCCTTGGCGGCCAAGGGCAGCCCACGCTGCCGCTCCTCCCTCCCTCTGAAGTCGGCGTCCCCGCGGGTGCTCCTGGCTCTCTGTGGCGCTGGGGTGGGGTCGGGGACGCGGGAGGGGGGATGGGGAAACAAACTTATTTCTTGGTGACCAAATGTGTTGATTGTAATGGTTCCTATTTTGATTAATAAATATGTGTTTGA